GGGCTTTGTTAGGTTTTTGGACCAGCAAAACAGTTTGTGCATTACTATCAGCAGAATTAATTATGAATTCCCGTTTATGGACGAGAACGTCCTAAATTGACTTAGGTACACAGTGTGGCGGTTCGCAAAGTGTTCCTATTGAAATCAGTTTCTTCACCTAATTTCGATTCAATTCAGGTTCAGTCTAGCCAGCCACTTCAAGGACTACAGGTGTGGTATTTGACTTATGCATTTCTCACTCCTATTACTTTTTCATGATCTTCCAAAAGAATTGTCCTTTAGGTGGGCCAGCTCACTCCGCAGATTTCCTACCAAGGTGGCACATTGGTCACGACCTCGAATGTGAAGACTGTCAACATGAACTTGAAACCTTCTCCAATTTCTCCTGATAAAGCTGAAAAGGAGCGCTTGAAAAAGGCTCGCCAGGCTGAAGCTGCCCGAATGAGGTGCGTTATTTTCACGAACTCGCTTCCGACTTGTGGATTGGTCACGTAAATAATGCTCGTTTTGTAACCGTCTTGTTTGCAGATACCACCGCTTGACTCCTGCCGAAAAGCGAGAACTGAATCTCAAAAGGACTCTTGCGCAGAAAAGGAAGAGGCAGAGAGAGAAAGAACTTGAGGAATTGGAGTCAATTCTTAGGGAAACGAATGACATTCAGGTGAGCTGTTTCAACGAGAATGAGTTTTTTAAGGTAGAATTAGGTATATGCGCAAAGTGAAATGGAAACATTTCATTCATAATTATCTCTTGGAGTGACTTCTCACTTCGCGACCCAGTCGCTTGGATCGCGCCATCGGGTCGTTCGAGCGATTGCATCGCATGACCGCGATTGGGGCCCTCACCCCCATCGCTGGTGCGCCGCAATGGTAGAATTCAATTGGACCACATTCACGCACTGAAGGAACAGGGTGGAGCGCTCCGGTAGTGGTCGCGCTCTAAAAGTTGCCTGCTTGGGTTGCTACCAGGGAGCCGCGATCATACCTTGCGGCAGTACATTGTTGGGGACTAAAATCGGTCTGGAGAGCATAGGAATCTTCGGAGGAGTTGAGATACATATCGATTGACCCACCATTCTCCGGTCCTTCAGGCCGGCCAAATCAATCGGTACGTATCTGAGCTTCGATTCTTTGATTATTCAGATCGATGAGTATACATTTCTTTTTTTCCTATACTCCCGTGCAAACTATGAATGCAGTCTGAGGGCTAATTGAAATCTTTTCATATTTAGGAAGATCCAGATATCACTGAGCAGCTTCGTGAAAAGAGAATGAGGGCGAAATGGGCCGAAGCGGCTCGTCAAAGGTTGATTTGTTCTTCTTATCCCAATAGGTTTTCCCAGCGCTGCATAACTAATCAATATTTCTTTCAGGTATGCCAGAATGACGCCCGAGGAACGTCGAGCGCACAACAATCGCCGTCGAATGCGTCAGATGCAGAATGCGTTGGCTGCCGTAAAGGTAGTTTCAGAGGTTCCTTTCACATTCGGCGTCACATAGCTCCACGAGTGTGCAGCATTCAGTCCATTTTGATCGTGCTCAACTATTACAGCCCCTAATTCCGAGAAGTTTTTTTTGTTAAGAGCTTTCACTAGAGAGGTCATTAGGTGCCGTGGTCGCTAACTTGATCTGGAATGTGTATATCGGCTCCGTTTAAAAAAGAGGTGACGCTAAAAAAGGCGCCCGCTGGAAGGACGGTAGAAAGGAATGTTCCTAATCGATGTATCACCAAAAAATTCTTGAGGTTTTGGGTTGTTGTATAGTTTGTTTGCTGCTGATCATGAGGCGTGGCAACGCGGCCGCGTTTGGCGCAGCGCCAACCCGTTTCTTTTTTTTCTTCCGGCCAGCGACAAGGCTATCATATCTTATCTTTCGTATTATTCGTTTTTCACCATTTGTTGTCACCTGCCTGCTTAACCTGATGAAGAATGGGTTTTGCGACGCGTCGCGCAGCCGCGTTGACACGCCCCATCATCCGCAGCCGAA